AGTGCCCGGTCCAATACTTAGAGAATATTGGACCGGCAATAGAGCATTTTGATTGGTTGATTTTAGTTATTGGTGCTCTGACTGCTGGAGTCGTGTAATAATATGTACTTATTGACTGGGTGGGAGGGCTAAACGGAAAAATATTTGGCTTGAGGGCATGACCAACGGACTGAGCGTATCGTGACCAAGAGCCAAAATTTTTCAGTCTGGCCCGACCAAACACAGTCAATAAGCATTTTATCATAGGGCCACAAAGTGTTGAAAATTTCATCCTCAATTGGACGCCACAGAAGGGCACACGCAGCCATATGACCAAAAATAAAAACATTCTGGAATTGTAACTTTTTCTTTCTTTTTCCACGCGAGAACAAGAAACTTACTATCCAAGGTCTTTTTTTATATATTTCAAGGGCCATTAGTTTCTCGGTTGAATTTCTTTGACAGCTGAGCATTGAAGCCATTTGAAAGGCTGCTCTCTGTTAAACCAGGATAGAGTCTTAGAGTGATTGAAGGATTTTGTGTTGATGCAAACCATTAATGAGTGTTTTACAGAGCCTGGGTTTGGGCAGAATGTACATGATTTGTCCATTGAGAATTGAAATCTAAATAATAATTTTTTTTTTTGTGATCCTGTGTTAAAGCTTAAAGGAAAGCTGTTTTAATTTGTTGTCTCTTGTTTATTTACATAAACCCAGTTATATACATGATAGTGTTTTCTTTTTCAGTCTTCCAAATAGATTAGAAAAGTGGTTTTCCTCTTTTTGTTACCACATGGTTCAATGGTGTTGCTATCAATAGTTAGTTTATACTAATCTATCAATAGTTATTTTATACTAATGCTTGCAGTGCATGCTGGTCAAATCCTTAACCCTTGAACTCCAATGAGTGACCAAGACAGAATTTCTCCTTACAATATCAATACAATATCAAGCAGACAAGTGATGAGAATAAGGAAAAGACAAGGTCAGGGGATTATCAGTTGATCCAATACCAAATTCTCCAAACTTACATGATAAGAATTGTATGGCAGACAGTAAGGAGAATTGCTATTGAGATCCTGGGGATGGAAGGGTTAAGAGTACAGTCAAACCTCGATTATCCAGACCTTGATTATCCGGCCTTTTCTCTGGTCCCGTTTTTTTTTCATAATGAGCTTTGATCTTCCAAACTTTATGAGGTAAAAAAATTCAGAGAATATGTCTAAATTCAGGAAAAGTGCATTAAAAACAGCGCATGACCTCCTCCGCTTTCAAAAGATCGAGCACTCGGAGAGTCATCAAAGCAGACTTTTAGAATTTAAAGTGTGTTATCTTTATCTTTTTTGTTTACATTATTGTCTCATTAGTATTCATATTTTCAATTATCCAGACTCTCTATTATCCAGACTGATTACCTAAGTCCCAACGGGTCTGGATAGTCAAGGTTCGACTATACCGGGAACCTTGATTGTATTTAGTAGCTCAGGTTCAGGAGTTTCAGTAATGTGGGCCTTCTTTTTCAAATCTCATCGAGTTGTTACCCTTAAATCAAAAATACTGAAGAAAGTTTGTTTTGAATTGGTATTCTAAATTTTCTTTGCAATTCCTCAACTGTTAAACTGTTTCCACATATATTGAAGAAATCTTGAACAAAGAGGGTTGTTTTGATGAAAGTGATGTTTTCAAAATAACATGTTTTTTCCAATAGTTACCAAAAGGGCTCGACACTAACTTTTCAACTAACTGGCCAAGTGGCTAGTGACATCTTAGAGTTTTTAGATCTTACAAAAATTTCAGTCTCTGTACTAGCCAAACTGGCTAGTGGGAATTGAAAACCACTAGCCAAAACTGAATTTCTACTAGTCTGTGGCTAGTGGGCTACTGTTAGTGTCGAGCCCTGACCAAGTAAAGCAATGATGCTTGCAAGGGAGCTACAAAGGTCTAGAGTAATCTAAGTTGGCAAATCCTTCTTTTGAGATTGTCTTGCAATACCATGTGTGAAAGTTTCCTCCCAAATGAAATGTAGACAAATGTACATAATTTGAGCTATGATGTCAGTTGTTATGAATTTTATTTTGGAAAAGAATACATGAATTTATTTTGAGATTAGTGATGGTTTGTCTTCTAAACATTATACAAAAAAATATCAACAAACAAAATTGTACAGTTAGAAGATCTCCATACCCCATTGATAGGATTTGTCTTACGAGTGTAGGTTGAAGGCCTATCTGCACTAGAAAAAAAAGTTTTTTTATTTAGACAGATTTTCTATCACCAACACTTTGCAAGTTCAGATGGTTTGTCGCAACTTGACAAATTATGGCCGAAGTGGACAAATGTTCTGCCAACAAAATTTTTCCCTGGGTGAAAACTGGACTAAATTGATCAAATAAGGAGAATCATGTTACACTTGTTGATCATTTGTCATAAGCTTCCATCAGCCTTCAACTGAACTCAGTGTGGTTTACCAGGTAGGCAATATTTGGTTTCTGTTGTGGATTTTAAAACTTAACAGCCAAATGGCACTTGGAGTATGAACTGATTGGTAGATCAGGCCAGCCAGTCTTATGAGCAGGTCAGGCCATTCATGGTATTTGACAGCTTTAAGATTTTTAAAGTGGATGCAACAGAGAAGATACAAAATTATCATGGCAAAAATGTTCTTGGAATTGAAGGATATAATTCTAGTTTTGTTCACAAGTGTGGAGAGGCTTAACAGTTATAATACCAAGCTTTTATCTTTAATTTTTTTAATCCAAATTTCTATCATGACCTTTTACTTAATAAGCAAATTCTTTCTCGTATGTATTGGTATTGTCTTTACTGTATAGTCTATTATGAATTTCTTTTATAACGTCCATTGAAAATTTCTTTTGTAATATCTACCGGGGATCTCTTCTGTAAAATCTATTGGAAATCTCTGTTGTGTAGTCTATTGGGAATCTCTTTTCTAATATCTTTTGGAAATCTCCTTTGTAAAGACTGATATAGGAAATCTCTTGTACTGTATGTTGGAAATCGCTGTTGAACGTGTATATATATATTGTCTATTTGGAATTCCTGTCACCCACGTTTTTACTTTTTGTTTCTCCGCTTGATGGTATCAGGTGGAGTGTTTATTTGACAAGGTCATTCAACAAACTGTTCACACAGTGACAACTTTGGCTTAAAGTAAAATATTGCAGGGACTAGATTGTATGAACCCGTAGCGCGAGGCTAGAAGTATTTCGAAGTACTTATTTTCTATGGCCAGCAGTTTATCTATCTGTGAATACCTTTGTTAGTGGCAATTGATTTAGTAAAACTTCCTTCCCATAAGAGTTTCAAAGTAATTTTAACGCAATATGCCGGCCATTTTCTCTGCTTATTGCAGCTTAATCTAATGCTACTGCTTACGAATATCCCCACTTGGTTGAATAAAAGTATTTCTTTTCTTTTAGCATTTTAGATAGCTTTTTGCTGTCAAGAAGGGTGTCCCAGCTGTTGCTTACATGGTGAAAACAAAAACGTCAACTACCGACAAGGTACGCGCAAAGTGAAGAGACCTAAAATGAATAACCAATTTGCAAAACCTGAAGGCAACTGTTGCGTGGAAAAGGCATTTAAATGCAAAACTTGCGGCAAGTTTTTAGTACAAAAGGAGCATCTACAAGTACATGAAAGATTCCAAACCAGAGAGAAGCCACAGCATTGTAAAACTTGTGAGAAGGGTTTAGCTCAAAAAGGAGATCGACAAATCCAAGAGAGAAATCACACTGTAGAGAAGCCATACCAGTGCAAAACCTGTTACAAAAGGTTTACGCAGAAAGGAACTCTACGAATACATGAGAGATTACACATTGGGGAGAAGCGGTACCAGTGCAAAACTTGTGATAAGTGCTTTGCACAAAAGGGAAATCTACAGGAACACGAAAGAACGCACGCTCAAGAGAAGCCATACAAGTGCAAAATATGCGACAAGTGCTTTAAACATAAAGGAAATCTAAACAGACATGATAGATTCCACTCTGGAGAGAAGCTATATCAGTGCAAAACATGTGACAAAGCGTTTTCTCGAAAAGAAAATCTACAAGTACATGAACGAACCCACACTGGAGAGAAACCATACCAGTGCAAAACTTGTAACAAGTGTTTTACTCGAAAAGAAACTCTGCAAAGACATAAAGAAACCCACACTGGAGAGAAGCCATACCAGTGCAAATCTTGTTACAAGTGTTTTACTCGAAAAGAAACTCTACAAATACATGGAAGAATTCACGTTGGAGTTAAGCCATACCAGTGCAAATTTTGTGACCAATGTTTCACACGAAAAGGAAATCTAAGAGTACACGAACGAACCCACACTGGAGAGAAACCATACCAGTGCAAAACTTGTAACAATCGGTTTAGACAAAAGGGAGGTCTCCAACAACACGAAAGATCTCACACTGGAGAGAAGCCATACCAGTGCAAAACATGTGACAAGCGGTTTACTCGAAAAAGCGGTCTACAAGTACATGAAAGAAGATTCCACATTGAAGAGAAGCCATACCAATGCACTACGTGTGAGAAGTGTTTTAGTGAAAAATATGATCTAAAAGTCCATGCGAGATCTCACACTGGAGAGAAGCCATACCAGTGCAAAACCTGTTACAAAAGATTTTCTCAGAAAGGTAATCTACAAATACATGAGAGATTCCACTCTGGAGAGAAGCCATATCAGTGCAAAACCTGCGGCAAGTGGTTTTCTCGAAAAGGAAATCTACAAGTACATGAACGAACCCATACTGGAGAGAAACCATACCAGTGCAAAACTTGTAACAATTGGTTTAGACAAAAAGGAGATCTTCAACAACACGAACGATCCCACACTGGAGAGAAGCCATACCAGTGCAAAACGTGTAAGAAGTGTTTTACTCGAAATGGAACACTGCGAAAACATGAAAGATTGCACTTTGAACAGCAGCCATATTCTTTAGATTTCGAGGAAACGTTGACTTGCTGGATTTGCCAGGAGGAGCTGAGCGGTGCTTCCCAGCTCCGTAGTCACTATGATGAACACATGAAGATGCCTTTAATTGACATTCCCGTTGACTAGCCTATGTGATTTGCTTTTGGTTTGAAGAACAAAACTCAAAGGGTTGTAAACATGAATTTGTTTAAGAGCATTCGGGAATGCTCTTACTCGACTATGTTAACAACGTTCAACGCGAGTTTGTCCTTGTTTATGACGCCTATGATTCTAAAATTCCACAATTTAATTACCAGCAATATGATCCTTTCAATCTCGACGACATCAATTCAGCCGAATGTAAAGGAGAGTTCTGAGTTGAAAAAGCCGACCTCACCTTCCTAGACTCGCTGTGAAGGTGTGGGACTTGAATTTTCGTTTACGCAATCCCCAGCGCTGTCTAACTCCTCTCTTGTCTTTGATACGAAACATTGGAAAATTGAACTGATTTAGTTTTTCAGCTATCGAATTCCACGCTTCCCTCCGGCTGACGCTTCCTTTCTTGAAAGCAAAAACGTCGCTGACAACCATTTCCCTGAGCATTGACACGTCGTGTTCGGTCCACTCCATCGGTACTCTACATAAAGTATTAAAACATGAGTTAGAAAGTATGCTGAAACAAAACTTATTGCTGGCGCACACTTGAACATTTCGCTGAGTTCAACTTATATCCTCGCGTAAACTTCTTTAACCTACACTCAAGTAGTTAAAATTCACTGAATTGCGCAAATTCCCTGTAATAATCGAATGGTTACTCGAAGTCACAGACACTATTCACTGAGGTTAGCTATTATCGTGAATTATGAGTTGCCTGTTTTCTATTTTTAACTAGATTTTTACTTGTGTGAACTTACTGTTTACCTTCGTTTGTCCTTGTGTTCGTAGCCATGTCTCGGAATTGAAAAAAAGAGGACCATTACACACATCACTGAATAACCGAAAAAGTCAGGTTAAAAGTCAACAATACTGAGTATTGTTTAGTTTGTTTTGAAGCTTTCGGACGTGAAAAGTGAAAGAAATGGTACATATTTACAGTGTTAAACAAAGTAATGTGCTTACGTTTTGTGGACAACTCGAAAGTCGCTCTGCTCTCAGGTCCGCGCAAAGAGAGGACGGCTGCGCGTGAAAATGTAAGACTTCAAGCGGAAGTAAGTCGGGCTTCCGGTCACCGTCGCAAAAAGCTGTATTGCTAAAGTTCCCTATTATCTAAGTTGTATAACGTGAAGACGAGAAAAACAAGAATAAATAAGTGGAATGAAAAGCGTTCGTTGATCCCTGTGGGATTTAGACTGCCGGTTTGAAAGATAATACTAGATATAACTTAAAGGATTGTTAACGTCATTAAGGTGCACCTAAACCCAAAAAATTTTTTTCGCTTAACGAAATAAGCGTATTTTTTGGAGTATTTCTGTGCAAACATTTTTTTATTTGCTAAAATCTTCAATTGTCTGTGCCCAGTCAAAATACGGAAAATCGGCCGCCATCTTGCCCCACGGCCGAGTTTAAAGAGGAATGGCTCTAGCGGATAATGTGACGTCAAATCGAGAACACGAAAGTCTGCTTTTCACACATTTTCACTTGTTTGGGAAGGTTGTGGTCGATATTGTCCGAAATATGCCAACCAGGTGTGTTGTATGAGGAATGTATGAAGCGTGATACCCTCTTGCAAATTTCGCACGTTGCTACATCCTCCTA